ACACACATTCCTGTTCCTTTGGCCCTCAAAAACTTTGAAAATACCCGGTGTGGCCCTCTGCTTTATACATTCAGTCTTAAGATATCAGTTTCCTCTACTATAATACTTGTAATTTCCGGACACAGTGGTGTAGTGGTAAATCTAGAAGTGCAGGTGCTCATCATGGCAGTCCCCATGGCCAGCTCCCACCTGCAACAGGAGATGTGCATTCAAAATGGACATTGCTGGATATGCCTATATCAGCAACTGAGAAGTGGGTCGTATGTAACATGACTTGTAATTGTCCATTTGAGGCCAAACCACTCTCAAATACTTTGCTTTACATCAGGGATTGTGTACAACAATATACAGTTCCTGGAAAATCTCTGAGAGAACATGAAGGACTGTGTGGGATGGACGATAATATCATTGTCCAGGCTACTCAGAATGTCCTGTGGCTTCAAGCCTTGTTTCTGGTATACCACTGACCATAGAGGGCGCCACTTGCATATGCCTCTGATAAAGAGGCTGAACGAGGCCTCCTCCAAATCAGAATGGAAACAAAAGCAACAATAGGGATCCTTTGGGCTGCAAAAATAGAACTCGGATAAGCATAGCTCAATGGCTGTGTCTTCTCCTTTACAACATACCAACTGACAACATAACACTTAGCAACTCCAGTCACACTGGCAATTATCTGATTTTTTTGTAGGCTGAATGCACCAGTGAATGTTTAGATCAGATCACAAAGATTACAGCTGGAGTTCGCTTTAAGTTGCCAGAAATAAAAAAAGAGAGGTTTATGCCCTTACCAGAACCAGAAATGCCTTATTACTTTACATACAATATAGCCTTTTCTGGACACAGGAAACTTACAGTTGGTTTTATGGAATCATAAGTGCTCCAACATGTATTCGTCCTTCTCTCCTTAGTACTTCAAACAAATGGGAAGTACTGAGGGGCAATGAAAACCCAGAGGGATTGTGCAGATTTCTGAAAAGATACAATTTAAGATACAGTGGACCCTTGACTTATAGACGGCTTGACTTACAGACTTTTTGAGTTACAGACTTCTCTGGCCGCAAAATTTAGGTTTGACTTGCAGCCTGAGAATTGACTTACAGACCAGAAAAAAACCAAAATGGAACAAAAACGGCCTGTTACGGGATTAATCGGTTTTCAATGCACTGTAGGTCAATGGAGACTTGACTTACAGACTTTTTGACTTGAGAACCGCCTTCCAATACGGATTAAGTTCTCAAGTCAAGACCCCACTGTAGCTGCATTGCAGTACAGGTGTATTGCAAGGATGTACAGGGGTTTGGACTCACTCAGATCTGTAAATCTTCCAGAAGTGCAACTTCACAATCTTCCATAGTGAGATTAAAAGGTTTTCATAGAGCCACTGTTAGGTTGATAAGAGTTTCTATTAAGCAGCGACTGGAGATCCAAAGATTCCCAACTCTTTTCTGGTATGATCACCAAAGCACTCCTAGCCTTCAGCAATACTTTCTACAAAGAAATCTCATTCACACAGCTGGTCTTCCTCTAGCTGTTCCTGCACATGGAATATGTAGAATTTTACCTAGTAACCTACCATGAGACTGCATTTCCCCCATGTCATATCACCATGTTATTTCCGAATGTCTTGAGCTGTCAGCCAAGATGCCCTGTCTGAATTAAGTCTGATTAAGTGCAGCAAAGATGAACAGCTCATGCACAGTTGGTTCATCAAGCTGGCATAGAGGAGGGCTGACTCAAAAAAGCTGGAAACAAGGCATGGCAGAGCATAGATATCCTAGGGGCTTGACTTGATAATCTGTAGGGTCCCTTCCAACAATCAAGTTTTAAGATGCTGATGGTGATAAAATCCACTGAGAATTTATTGTGTTTAATAGAGATAGACACAAACCAATGGTTCCTGCCCACTTCTAGTGTTTAATCATCACAACATAGATATCCCAGGGGCTGAACTCAATGATACATAGGATCTGTTGAGTTGTGGCTTTTGTAAGTCAGTTGATTGGGAGCAGGAGGCTTTTACAAAGCTTTCAGTATCCTCCCCACTTTATCTATAGAATGTGGTCAGACCATAGCCTTTTCAGGGTTCTGTCCATAACCTTGTTCTTTAACTACTGCCTCTCCTGGAGCCCCATAGCTTCATTTGGGGGTGGGAGGGGTGCTGCACTGTGCCCTGCTGTGATTGGTTGTGCACCGCCCTTTGCTAACTCTGTTTTGACTACCTTTATGTTACCAGCCTTTGGGGAGCAAAACAACATACTGATTACAAGTCTTTGTAAGTCTTCCTCTATTTCTACCACAGGCCCTTTGCTCCTTTTTCTCTTCTAATTAAATGTACTGACCTTGTGGGAAGGAAGGATATGAAATCCACTCCACATGTGACATCTAATTAGGATTGCAACGTTCATAAAGCTTCTTGTTTTTTCAGCCTTTGCTGCTCTTTCTACTGTTCATTTTCTCTGATTAACTGCTGAAGTTTGGGCTAGGGAACCATTTTTCTTGGACCCAAATATATTTGAAACTTTTAAAATGTTATTACAGAACAGAAAAGACACTTGATAAAATTGTAAAGTGTATTTTGTGATATTTCACATTTCATTTGGCCAGATGTCTAAAATCCACAAGACCTTATGGTTTTTCAAAATAAAGTATCTTTGTATCATAATAAGCAGTGAGTAAAAGGAGGGTAATGCAACTGAGGAACCAAGTTACTAGTATTTTGAATGAGTAAAGAGGATCTCAAAAAGCACATGGGTGGGTGAATGCTGCTAGAAAGATGTTGGCGTGTAATGATGTAGAATATATTTGTGTTTTACTGAGTTTGTAGCTGTATTTAATAGTAAAAATAGCAACATCACGTTGCTGCTTAGTATTCTAGGAATAGGCAGAGTATGGAGGTAATGATGAGTTACTCTTGGGGAAATAAGAATTCTGGGATCTGGAATAAAATCAATCACTCATACAGTGCTTCAGTGTCTCCTTTTGACATCAAAAGCCTTGGACTGGAGTGTTCTTGCTTTGCGTGTTCCTGTACAGGAAGCTAGTGAAGGAAAATGTTTGAAATGAACTTAAATGTCACAAAAGCGTTGTAAGTTTTCAGGTTCTCCAGAATTCTTCATGAACCTGTGGTAGCACCCAGCCTAGTGTAGAGTTCTGGAGAGCTCAAAAATTTGCATTTCCTTTTGTGACATTTTGGTTGATCCTAATAACAGTATTGCTGAACTGTGGGGTTTTGAATTGTTTTCCCATGGGCAAGCAGAGGGTTTTTGCTTTTTTAAAAAAAAAATGTATCTACTAAAAATGTCATTTTTTAACTAAAATATTCCTATAATAGAATCATGACAATGTATAAACTTCAGAAATCTGAAATATTGTACAGAAGAATGCAGTTAATAATGCTTCTGTTTTCAGTCCTGATAATACCTTATGGAAGGATGTCGGCAATGTCTAATAAGTATGAAATGCTGGATACGGTAATGATACTGCTACTGCTTTTCGTCAGTGTCTGTATTACAGTCAGTTTGACTTTACTACTATTATAATTAATTTTTCATAAATTCTTTCAATATTTTGTGAAGGCGAAAAATACAGATATAAATCTTGTTTGCTACATTTGGCAAAAAGAATAATGTTTCATTGACATACGAAACAGTCTTGCCAGTAAATCTGTGTTATTTTAATGGGAGTTTTGAAGGTTCTTTAACCAATAACTAATTACAAACAAGTTACACTGTCTAAAGCAGGGTCGGGGAACATGTTCCTATGTAGAAGTTGAGGAGATACAATTCCCATTACCCCTCACAAATGACTTGGGTGGCCAGGGCTGATAGGAATTGGAATCTCAATAGACCCGGAGGCCTAGGGGTTATTCTGCCCTGAAATATGTTTTGCTGATTTTAATGTATTTGTTTAATTTTAATGGTATTTATGGCAGACTGGTTTATGTGATTTTATTTTACTTTTTAGCTAAATGTAGTTGCATATTTTTTAAAAAAGTTTGTAAGCCATTTTCAGTGTTATCTTCAGTGGAAAGGCAAGATAAAATGTATTAAATAAGTAAGGGGATGAGAAATATATAGGAAGTTCTTTTAAAACCACTTGAGTTTGCTGTGTTTGCCCTCAAACAAATGAAGAACGTTTTGCCCTCCAAATAGGTAAGCCTCTGGCTAGGATTTATAGCCCTGTGATATTGGGAGAATCTCAGGTTTCCCAATCTTCCCCTCATGAAATTGTCATGTTGGAGGAATTCCAAAGCAAAGAAGAATGAGAGAGTATGTTTTTTATAACATTGAAATAAATTTGTTAAAAGAAATCTTTTAATTTACCAACTGCATCATTTGGGAAAATCTATTAAGAGCTTATGATGTTGTCCCATATGAGGGCAGGAACCTTTCGTCCTCCTGATTACAAATGGCCACAATCCCCTGGCATTGGCCATCTGGCTAGTGGAAGGCCAAAACATGGACTGGCAAATGGTTTTGTGAGTTTTTCGGGCTCTTTGGCCATGTTCTGAAGGTTGTTCTTCCTAATGTTTCGCCAGTTTCTGTGGCCGGCAGTGCTGTCCTCCGAAGATGCTGGCCACAAAGACTGGCGAAATGTTAGGAAGAACAACCTTCAGAACACAGCCAAAGAGCCCGAAAAACCCACAACAACCATTAGATCCCGGCCGTGAAAGCCTGCGTGAATACATGGACTGGCAAAGCTTCCCCACCCCTGATTTGGTACATGAATATGCAGAAACCCCTAAAGATGATCTAAAGACTATGGCTACCTTGTAACAACTAGAGGTATATTCACATGGACTAAATCAGCTGCAGGTTTTGTTTTATCCTGTTATAATATTTTAAGGAAATAAGTCATGTGTGATATTGTCTAATAGGTACCATGTTCTGATCTCCTACAAATATATTGAATTTTAATGAAGGTGAAGTATCCATTTATTAAATGGTCTGCTAAACACAGATTATGTTTCTAAATATATTTTTCTTCTGTCCTGACAGCTTGATCAAGTTATCCGTCAACGTAGCCTATCCAGTTTGGAACTCTTCCTCTCTTGTGCACAGAAACAGCTGACCTCTTTGTTGCATGAAGAACCTACAACAACAGAGGGCGAACAAGAGAAACTGTTCTTGTAAACTGACAGTCCATCTAGATGGTTCCGATGATTTCTTTGAGAAATTAGGAATTGACTAGGCTATTGATTCAGGTTGAGTCAATGGGCCTCATTTGTTGTAAATCATTGTTTCTATTACCTATCAAGCTAAAGGCCATATTAAATTTCATCCAATTATGTATTAAAGGAAAATGAGATTTACAGCTACACACTGTTTTTGTATAATTTCAGTAATGAATGAAGAATGCAATAATTGACAAGTACCAATTATCAACGTATAAAGCTGATTGAGATGACTTCGTAGACTTGCTCATTTATAACCCTAGACATATTTATCACCATATTGTTTGGCTGCAGGCATATACATTTTATGCCAAAATTTAGGAGGGAGGGGAAGAGGAATCATCTTTAGAAAATGAATTTACAATCAACTGAATCACACATATTTTCAAGGTTTGTCTTTAATCCTATGGACTGGGATCTAAGTTTATGATTTATTTATTTGTTTCTTTGATGTTTTCTATAACCACTGGTTTTGCTACACCAGTAGGAGTTTTTACTTTGCAGAAAAGTCTCCCCGTTTTCAGAAAGATTCAAAGCCAGAGTTTCCTTGGGTACCAAAAACTTGTACTACAGCTCTTTGGATCCAAGCACTGTCATTCTAACAAAAGAAATGCACAATGCTATGCATGTGTACTTGAATGTTACACCCTGTCATGTTGAATTAGTCTTATTTTATTAATAAGCTTACTCAGGATTGCAGTGTTAGTTGATGCAAAGAGATCACCTGAAGTGACTGGAAAATGTGTGAGTAGAAGCCACAGGATTTATCTTTTTATTTAAAAAGCCAGGTCAAATAATGCAAAAGTATTTTGTGCCTTTTCAAATATGTACAAAAAGTCCAGTTTTACAGAAACATTACCATAGAGATAGTGGCAAGGTAATAATTACAAACATATCTCATGTTCTATTCTCTGTCTTTTACATTCTTGCATACAGTTACAAATATGGTCTCCAACATTGAAATGTTAATTGCTTACTTAACTTATTAAATACTTTAATACCTTAGTTTCTCTCATTTTGTGACACTGAATGGTATTCCTTGCCCAATAATCATATGCTCAGTATCATTATATTATCTTTTTTAAACTCATTCTTTCCAGGTTTATTAGAAAAGACAATAATGCTAGGGAAAGGTGGAGGCAGTAGGAAGAGAGGAAAACCAAATGTGATATATATTTACTCAATAAAAAAGCTTTGGCCTTGAGTTTGCTAGATATCAGAAGGGCTATTAATGGCAGAATCTATTTAAGGTAATGAGCCGGAAAGAACTTGACAGCACATAACAACAACATATGCTTACAAAATTGCACATCTTAAAGTTCTTGGGAAATCTTAATCAGGCTAGATTTTAAAAGACTTGAGAATGAGAAAAGACATGTATGTCTAAAAAATTGCCTTGTGTTTGAAGCCTTTGGAGAACTGGAGCTAAAACCAGTTCCAAAAGAGAAAGTGGAAGCTTGAGAAATCAGAGAGGTATAAGTCAAATGAGAAACCATTCTTAAAAACAAACAACTCCCTGCAATATAAAGGCAGGTAAGCAAACATTTAGAGGGCTCCAAATGACATGGAAGAACATATTAAGCTGCATTTTCTTGGCACCAGAAGTAGATGGAACTTAGCATTTTTTGGATGTTGGTAATAAACAGTTTGATGATGGCATCACAAAAGGCAACAAGATTATTAAAAAACTAAAACTATAAATCCTCCGCAACGCTGACTTTATGCTGTTTCTGTTGGACAATTCACACTACACTTATATCAAATTAAGGTATTATGTAAGCATTACTTAAAAAAATTAATTAAAATGGAAAATGATAGAAGCAAACATTCTGGAGCATAAAAGCAAAACTGGAAATCATCAACATAAAACAATTACTTGATATAAAGAAATGGACAATACATTGTCAGTTCCGTTCTCTGCTGTGTCTGTTAGGAAAAGAGTCAGCCTGTATAGCCACGGGCAAGTTGCAAAGGGTGCCTGAGGAACAAGGGAATGGTAGACCAGTTCTGTGTATTTTCTACTTTAAAAATCCTGGAAACGGTCACCAAAAGTCAGAACTGAGTTGACAGCACACAACTATATTATTAATAATTAAGTTGTAAGAGAGCGAAGATAAATTCTGCTAAAGTCACCAAGCATTTAAAACCTGGAGGAGACCAGCACCGAGAGGAATGAGGGAAACAAACATTTTATGAAAACAAAAGAAGACTTGTTGAATAAGAATAGAACCAGCAAGCGCACCAGAAAAAAACACAAAAAAAGCTAGGACATCCTGGATTTAGCTACGTTGCCCCCAGATGTACCAAGGCAGCAGTCCTGTTTCACTGATTCACTCCATTTTCTGGAACTATAAAGCCATCCCACAAATTAAGTGTAATTTGTGTGTCTAGTTTACGCTGCAGTAATATCACACCTTATGGGGCCATTCCACCACTGAGGATGGCCAAAACCGCCACACCCACTTCCTCCACTAGAGTGAAATCCATTTGAGTGATAGAAATATAGTTCCCTACTCTGGGCCCTTATTGGTGGATTTTGCACCAGACAGAAGGAATAGGAAAATCTTCCTGTTAAAAAGTTCTTGTCATTTGGCAAGCAGGGGTGATTTTGCTTATTAGTATCATTATATAAAGCCTAACTAAATGCAGATGCAAGTATGCAGAAAGTCATACAGAGGACATGTTTATAGGCCATTGTGAAAAGCATTTAAAAAGACATCTTTATGTAGAAAAACAGCAATTTAGGAAGGAGCATTACTATTCCTTTCATTTTATGAATAGGATGTCAATAATCCAATTACAGGTTGGAGTACAATTGGGAATACAGATGCCAGGGAGTAAGCCTCTTTAAAGTCAGATGGAAATCAATCCAAGTAGGTATGCATCAGATTCTTTCTGCTTATTATGGAAAGACCACATTTCTAAGCTTGTAGAGGCATAGAACAAAACTTAATTTGACTTTAGTTTGCTAATACGTACAATAAGCTTATACGTACAAACATGATACACTAAAACAAAACTTGATTTGCTTTTAATTTGCTGATTTGTCACACAAATTTGAAGGAATGCAGAAAGTGGTTGTTTCAAATACTGAATGTTTGCTGAGTTCATATTGAACATATGTAAACAGTATTTTTAAAAAGAAACCTTTAGATTTAAGAATGTTACTGTGGCAAAATCAGAGATAGTTAGGTGGTAGTATAGATCAACATATATGTTGTTTGGGAGAAGCTGAACATTTATATACAATTGAAGACAGAAATTCATTAAAGGTACATCACTAAAATGTACCATGTGTGTGATACATATATATCCAGATATGTTGACATTGAGTTGGGCTGATTTGCAGAGATTGAAGACTTCTCTGAGGTGAGCAGATAATCTTTCACATCTCTCTCTTCATGAAACAGGACTAGTTTGAAGAAACCAAGAATCAAACTGGCTGATAACCTGCTACTATATCATTAGAACCTAGCAAGAATTTCCCTCACCACCACATGTTGCAAATTAACTTTCCTTTGTCGTGCAATTGATCATTGGGATGTAAACATGGGATTACTGTGCAAGGCCCACTGTTCAGGCATGGAATCTGAAAGAACTGTGTGCCTGAAAGTAGAAAGTGTTAGCAGCTTCCAGTGGCAAAGCTGGCATCTAATTTTACTCTTGGAGAGGCGGACATTGTACCTGGGGTGGTAAGGAGAGTGCCCTCCACCTCATTCTCCAAGGCAGCATTGGCGTGTAGTTTTGTGACAGACACCTGTGTTTTCCAATCATAGACTAAGTTCACTATGATTCACTTCCAGTCATTGTGCATTTGAGAGGAACTCAGATGGAGCCTCAGAGGCTTCTCCTTGGTTATCATCGTGGTTTTGTGATCATGCCTGTGGCAGGAAAGGTAGCAACAATGTTCAGTATTTCTAAGAAGCGGGGGGGCGATGGTCCTGCCATCTCTACGCTGCCTCTCCCACTGCTTGATATAAATTGCTGTGATGAACAGAGTTTCTCCCTCTGAAGCAGAAAGCGAAGCCTAAGAATTTACAAACAACCAGTAAATTTTAGTAATAAAGTATTAGTTTATTCCTATTTCAACCCCTATGGTCAAGTCAATTCCAATAAAATTACCATCAGCACATGTAGACACATATAACAGCTTTAAAAACAAACATATACTGTATACACTAACCTAGAAAAGCAAAACAATTAAAACAGTAAAAGAAACTATACAATGCCTGCAAACTTTAGCTAAAAGATCAAAATACATTTTTAGATTAAAATATGCCGGCAAATAAAAACATAATGCTGCCAAAAAGATAACTGAGTTAGAAATAGAAATAAGCAAACAATATATTGATGTCATGACTTTACATTAATTCCCTTTTCAAATAATAAAGACAAGATACATTACACTGGGAATTGACAGGCTGAAATCCTATTGCTGGCAGAAGAGAAATGACAGTAGCAGCAGCGGGAGCAGAAAATTGCCATTGATTAAAGGTGACTTGCCACAGATTTAAAGCCATTTTAGGGTGCATGTGACTCATACACAATGCAATGAAATCACAAGCACTCCAAAATAAACTGAGGAATCATTTAACCACAAACATTTGCTACTGCTGCTGGTGTCATCATGGTTGTGCACTCCAACCTGCACAACAGGATTTCAGCCAAGGAACAGTAATATCATTTTGTTCAGCAGTGTAACTATAACTTTTATGTACAGTGGTGCCTCGCAGAACGGTCGCTCCATAGAGCGACGAATCCGCGCAACAGTGCCGTTTTTGCGATCGCAAAAGCGATCACAAAACGGCACCTAGATAGGGCACAATTCACAGAGCGAAGGTCGGTAAGCAGTTCGCTTACCGACCTTCGCTTTGCAACCCGCTGATCAGCTGGCCGGCGGGTCCAAAATAGCCGCCACGTGACCCCAAAATGGCCGTGCGCAGCGGTTTCGCGCCTTGTAAGCGAGGGGAGGGCGCGAAAACACTGCCGGAACAGCCGAAATGGCTGCGTGCAGCGTTTTCGCGCCCTCCCCCCGCTTACCAAGGGCGCGAAAACGCTGCGCACGGCCATTTTGGCTGTTCCGGCGGCCATTTTGGACCCGCCGGACAGCTGATCGCAGCCATTTTCGTGCCCTCGTTCAGCGAGGCGAGGGCACGAAAATGGCTGCCAGCCGCCCGGAAGCATCGTTGAACGGTGAGTATTCAGCCCAACTGGAACGCATTAAACACTGTTT